TCATTCGTGAATGTGTTGAGAAAGAGCTGGTCAGGATTGAGCATGTAAGTGGTGACGAGCAGAAAGCTGATATCTTGACTAAAGCATTACCAAGGGTCAAGTTTATCGAGATGAGGCAACTGATGGGCATTGAAGATTTGGCAGGAATGAGGACTGGAATCAAGGGGGTGAATGTTGGTTAATTCCAGTCCAGAATATAGTTTAAGTTTAAAAATAAATAAGTAAAAAAAAAAAAAAGGTAGACAGTCAGGCAGTTACTAGTTACAGGCAGTTTTATGACAGTTTCCAACAGATGTGTTGGTTAGAAACTGTTGTGTCTATTTGTAATGGTTGTGTTGTTTAGTCCTCTATTTATATGTATGGGCACATTGTTCTAGACAGCAGTTCCACAATAAAAACACACTGTTTCTATACTTTAGATCTGTCATTATTTCTCTCACGCACATCTCCTTCGGCATACATCAGTTTGCATCAGTCCTTCAGCATTGATTTCACAATCCATCAGCTAGGTCTGTAAACCTAATCTATTGTGCGTATCATCTTAGTTCCCCTTATTTGGTTTAGATTTTGAAATTTTTATTTCATTTCTATTTCAGTTCCCCTTATTTGGTTTAGATTTTGAAATTTCAAGAATTTAGGTTTACATCTTATTGATTATGCTCAATTGAAATTGGTATTAGCAAATTAAAACTACGAATTTGGGGTTCACTTCTTATTGAGTACCCTGTATTTATTTACTTCTGCTTTACTTGTAAATGATTAAGCTTAATTTTCTGGTTTTTTTAAATGATTAAGCATAACCAAAGTTGGATTTTGTGGTTGAATTCTGATTGACTAACCAGAGAATTTTTAAAATTCAGGCCCTAAAAATCTCTACATCCTTATTGAATTACAAGATATATACTCCTAATTGATGTAAATACTCAATAAAATGTATATGCATTGTTTGTTGATCTCTTGTTCTTTGCTCTGTTTTTTGGAATGAGGATAGTTAATTCATAGATGGAATAGAAGCATTTGTTTTCTCTGTTTTAAGCTATTATGGTGTGGCTTGAAAGTATACAATATCCAGTTGGAACAACTTACGGTGGAATGTTTACATATTGTATTTGAAGTTTATAAGAAGGCTGGTTGTGTTTTTTCTACTGCACCAATCTTTGATGTGATGATTATTCGTTTATGTCTGGTTGTGAATTTACATTCCTTTATGATTATTTACTTACATTCCTTTACGATCATTTTGTTTACTGCATTTGTTCTTTGCATGGGGTTAGACATCTTTTATTCTTGGATTGTATTTTGTTTACATGTAGAATATTAGTATTTTGATATGGAACAACTCTATGTTTGTGATGGGCATTATTTTGTTGAAAATGAATTATTTGGTTTGGTAGAAGTGTGCTCTTATGACCTATTTGGATTTATTTAGTATTACTAAAAAGTAGTATTTGTATTTCTTAAAGGAAGTATTTGGACACAATTTGATTTTAATATGAAATGATTTGATTTTGTTGGACCAAAGCTCAATACAACAACATAGCATACCGTCGGGCCAGGGGTGACTCCGCCCCCGGACCCCAGGCAAGGGCGATGCCTCCCTTGACCCCTTGACTCGCTAACCGGGCAGCGAGACCCCCGCTTCCTCATATTGGAAGCTATACTTTATTGACTAAGCATATTACTAGTGTCACTCAGGTTTGTGCCTAGTTGGTTTTTTGGCAGGAGACACCTATTTAACAAAGTGTTTTATTATTTTTTATCATTTAAGTATAAAAGTAATGTATATGGTTTATTAATTTTTATTCTTTTTTAGGTTAAAATATAGTTTGTTCTATTTTTAGGTTAAAACATTGTTTGAAATGGATAAGAGTTAGATTAATATGCATAGAACATCGACACAATATATAGGTGGAGTTCAAGCATTCCTCGATTCATCACGCGTGAGACATACATGAGAACAGAGATGGCAACTACGGGAACAAAAGATGTCAAGGGTTCGAAACCCTAGCACCCGTCTATGGGTCTCCATGGTATGAAGCAACATTTAGTGATGGAGGAACCAAAATAGAGATAATCTTGAGAAGCTACCACGAGCGACCACTTCAAGATGAAGAGCAACTTAAACGAAGCCTAATCTAAAAAAATCTAGGTAGCATCCAAGGGTGTTTTCGAGGTTATAGTCTTCAAGTCCATAACTTTTCTTCAATTTCCTAGTATTTAATTGAGTAAATTCTATAATTGGTCCTTTATAACAGGGGGAGTTTCCCTATTTAGTCCTCTATTATCAACTATTATCCCAGTGGTCCTTCATTTATGGGTATCTTTCTAAAAATAGTCCTTTTTTTGGTCTTCAATCATGTTTGTGTTAATTTGAGGGCTAAAAGTGTAATTTCACAATGATAATATATCTTTCAAAGGCTGTTCCGTTTGTGTCGTTTGTGAATTACAGTCGCTTTCTACTACAACCATAGTCTACAAATGTGGTCTTTCATTTGAATTCTAGTCCACAATCATAGTCATTATTTTTGTGTTATTCTCTTAACCAATATCAGAACACGTTACTAGACATAATGTTGATGTCAAATTATGCTTTTAGCCTTTAAATTAACACCAACTTGGTAGAAGATCAAAAAAAGGACCATTTGTGGAAAGGCATTCTTAAAAAAAGGACTACGGGGGTAATATTTGATAATAGAGGACTAAATATGGAAACCCCCATGTTATAATGGGCCAATTATGGAATTTACTCTATTTAATTCTAGTATTAGTATGATTTTTTAGGGCTTGACCAGATTTGGAATTATTTTTAATCCTATTACATGACTTTTATATGCTTTTTTTAACATTCAAGCAAAATTTTATATGTTAATTGGAAGTTGTTAATTTTGAGCTTCTCTATTTGTTTTTACAATATGTATTCATATACAATTGCACTTGGCAGATTTCGATCTGGGCAGCGTGATCTAGGCATGGGCGTGGGCTGCGTGGAGGGTCGGGCTGTGAGGTTTAGGCAGTGTGTTGGGCTGCCAGGTTTGACCTGCGGCTAAGATCTGTGGGTCTCCCAAGGGAGGGTGTTGCTTTCGTTTGGTGGGTGACTCAAGGTACTATGCTTTGGCTATCTAGCTAGTGTACTTCGAGGTGCAAAGAGTGACTATAATAAGAAGATGCTTAATTATTTATTTTGGTAAAATTAAGAAAAATGGTTTATTATTTTGTTTAAACATGCTTCACTTATTATAGAGTAAGTCCTCTTGAGGATTTGGAATACAGATTTACATTCCATATCGGTCTTTTTATACATTGAATAATTATTAATACGGTTATATGCTAAGTATTCAAATACTAATTTTCAGTATTTGGTTATTGATCTTTGTTTAAGGTTAGTTGTTTTGATTTTGTTGCTATGGGATTGATGTACTGTCTTTGTTGTTGCACAACTGTTCCGGTTGCTAGTTTTCTTGGTGTAGGCTTTTCTTTGTTTATAGTCTGAGTATGTTCAAGGATTTAGTTTTTATTTGTTCTTGCAGGTTGCTGACTTGGTTTTGGATGAGACCTTAGACACCTTATTCAAGTTTTGCAAAGCCATTGGTATTTTATGCACCTGATGAAGACTATGGCTAATGGTTGTAAATTTAACTATAATTTGCTGGTATGAGGTATGAATAAGCTACCTATGTTCTATAGTTCAAAAGTCTACTAATTTAACTTCAATGTTGGAAATTTCTAATTGATGCTGGATTGCAGCATGGTTCTTAGGTTGAAACTTGATTTATAATGAACTTCTCATCTTCTTATTTAGATTCTACAGTAAACACACACAATTGTTCAGTTTGACAACACCCTCCTTATGGTGCAGGGATATCATGATGGCAAATGGGGATGTTAGTGACTGTAGACCAACATCTGAGGCAAATCTGTTAGCATCACATCTTGACCGCAGCACAATCAACACTTTGCCCCGACCATGTGAAGTGGATTTATTCATCGCTGGCCCTCCAGCCCTCCTTCTCAGGTATGATTTATATTCATTTGCCATTGATAGTAAAGTTCACTGTTTAAATTCTACGGAGTAATGATTTTAAAAAAGTAAAATTTGCACTAAATAGGACTAAAACATAATGACTTTCCCAATGTAGGACTTGAACTTTTTTATTCCCTAAATAGGACTTAATAATGACCTCGTGGAGGAATAATGTCCAGTAATGATGGGAATAATTGATAATGACCAAAAGTCCTACATCGGGAAATAAAAACATATGGTCCTATATTGGGAAAGTCATTATGTTTTAGTCCTATTTAGGTAAATTTCTCTTCAAAAAATCCATATGAGCTTCTCTTTGCTTGCAGGGGTTTTTTTTATTGAACAGGCACAATCAGAGTTCAGTGAGTGATGTTCAATGCATAATACTTCAAGCCCAAGTTTCTGCTCATTGAAAATGCCCGGAATCTCATTTCATTTGATAATATGAAGCCATTTCAGCTAATTATATCTTCACTTTTTGAAACGGGTTATCAGTTATATAGATATAATCATATAATGTACACCTGTCTTAAAAAAAGATTATAATGTCAAAGTTTCTTTGTCTAGAAAATAAAGTAGCAAACTACTTTTTAGTGTAATATGTCATACAAAAGACACAAACACGTTACATATGCTAAATTTAATCAAACAATTACTAATTTCTTTCAAAAACATGTGTAGGGTTCATGATCCACATAAACAGCCTGTTTTTTTCCTTAAAAAGAAATACTCATTTATGTGTGTTGTTAAGTATTAATCATACAAACTTATAAAGCATCATAGTGCTCTTCCCATAGAAAAGTGTGTGGGTGTGTATTGTGAACTGTGCGTGCATATCTAGATTCTGGTGTAACTTCAACGTGACTAGAGTTCTTTTTTTCTTTCTTTATGTGCGGGCAGGTAAGGTTTGGAGTACTCCTGGAAGCGGTATTCTTTGGTGCAGGACAATTTGGGACTAGTGACAATCTTTTGGTTCCAAATATAACAAGACCCACTGCATGCAATAGCTTGGAGTTGAGGCAATATTGGCAACACTACTACGTACATTTTTTCTTCCTTCATGTATGACAATGCCTGAACATTGCAATAGTATGTTTGGAGCAACTATTGGCATAGGTCACAGTTTTATGAACTTGGGAGTTAAGATTCTTTTATTTGGTCATTGATTTTTGGCTTAAGAATACAATGCAAAATTTGTCTTTTGTTTTTAGCTTTAATTCTAGTGTTTGTTTAGGACATTATATTGCAGGTCAAGGCACATAGGTAATTTTAGATTAGATTTGGTTCTAAGTTTGCTTGGTGTAATTTGTATATCTTTTCGAGGGGCTTTGGTTCGGTCCTCCCCTTTTGATACATTTTTTAATAGAATAAACTCCTATTTTCTTATTTATATTTGTAAGATTTTACATGTCTATATGTGTGTGTATGTGTGTGTATATTATGGGGTTTTTTCCCATTTTATGAAGAAACTAGTTTTTTAAAAAATACATATTCAAAAGTTATTTGCTTGGTTGTAGTTTGCCGCATATATAAGTGTAGATACAAGCCCTTAATTATTTTCAACGGAATGTTTTTCCCCGCATTTGTAAGTGTGACATTGTAGCAACACATATATGTGTGGCAAAATTAAACTCCCTCCGTTCTCAAAAACAATTCCTCTTTCATTTTTTTCACTTTCAACAAAACACTTCCCCTTTCTATTAAAAAACCACTTTTACCCTTACTTTTTCATACCCTACCTATCACATCATACTTTTTCTCTAATAATCTATCCATCACATCTTACTTTTACCCATCACATCAAGGGCAAAATTAGAAATCAACTATAATTTAACACTTCCTTATTTTTGCCCACAAATCAAATGGGAAGGGTTTTTCCAAACGGAGGAAGTATATGTTTAGAGAAAAACTAATTATTTTCAAGAGAGTGTTCTTATCATCCATTAGAGCTAAACTTTTTATCATTTCTACTCTTGTGAGAGTTTATGTTGAGAGGTTGAAGAAGATTGTTCTTCTTGTCGTTCAAGACTTATGTGACTTAAGTCTTGGGTGTGAAGTCTTGTAGAGGGCATATCTACGAGCAATTGTGTAGAGGCTTGTGTCAATTGTGTGACTCAAGCTCTCGAGTTGTAAACGGTTTGTTAAGCACTCGTAAGCTTAACGAAAGTAGTGGTAGCTTCGAGAGAGTTTCTCGGGGAACTGGACATAGCCACACGTTGTGGTGAACCAGTGTATATCGGTATATTCTTTTCCTTCTCTCTTTTATTTCTGCTGCACTTTCGTTTATCTTATTTAATCTTGTGAAAATCGGTAATCATTCTCAACAACTCTATTCAGCCACCTCTAGAGTTGCACGCATTGTCTAACACTGCGATACCTAAAAGGTTATCTACACCTTGCTCTTCTTTTGTAGAAGGGGGGACTTGGCATGTCTATCTGTCTATTTAGATCCTAATTGGGCAAATTACAAAGATGATTAGAAATATACTACCCTTGTATGCTCATGCTTGGCTCCAACCTCATATCTTGGTGTACGGATCGGAAAAGTAGACCCGTTTTTCTAGATCTTCTACTAAGGCCGAATTGAATATCACGACATGGCTACAAGTGTGACATAAGCTATGTGGCTACGGTACAATAAATCCACTATCTGTGTGACCAAGAATTCAGTTCTGCATGACCGTATGAATTGAAGCATGTTGGATGAGACTACCATTTTGTGCGAGATAATTACAATCATGGAAGGAACCATGATTACACTTCATATTCCATGCAGTTAACATATTTTCTCACATAGCCGATACCGTTCGAGTACTTATGCTCTAAGATGCCCCTTGTTTTTGTCGATCAGCTTGCGGGGGGATAATAAGAAAAAAAAAACTATTATTAATTACGTACCTTCCTTATTCTATTATTTTCTTATTGTATTGTTACCATAATTCTTATTCTAGTAGGATTAGAATCTTCTCTTTCTCTTGTAATCCCTATATATAAGGAGGTAATCTTTCTTTACTCAATGATATCAATTATTATCAAATTCTAAAAATTTGATATAGAAATATTATGAGACCCATACTATATTATTATTTTCAAAAAGATTAGAATGTATCAAATTTATTTTATGCCAACAAAAAATGAAGTTGACTTTGAAATGTGGACTAAATAACAGTGACATATATCAATCACGTACGGGGTTATACGGTACAACATGGTGGGTTTAAAACATTTGGTCGAATCTAGTACAAGATATGTTTGTAATTTGACAAATTCAACGAAGTCATGACAACCACCCTAATGTTATGGGAGAAGACAACTCTCAAGAGCACCTCACCAAGAAAACAAATTAAACGCGTTAAGCAACCTTGAATAAACATCGAGTAATGACAAAAAAATATATGCCAAGTGTCTCCCAATCAACGGGGACACCAAATTAAACATGATTATTGTATTACTTCTTTAGGCAAAGTGATATGCTTAGGGCATGGGTGACTTCAGTGGGGTGCACACATAAGTCACATAAGGTACAATATATAAGACACATCGCCACAAATAAGGCATCCCTGTATTTCGCCCATATATAGAGTTACATTAATTTTTGATACCATCATTCTTACATGGACTATAATTAATTGTGTGTGTGCTTAAAATTATGGTAAAGGGGTATTAAAGCTGACCTTCATGGTTACTCCGTATTTGATAGGGAACAACTCCGAGTAAAAAATTATAAAAATATCAAAATAGGAATCATAAATCTTTTATGATCAAAATAGAAGTTCACACTGTCATTATCACACTGTCACACTCTCCACATTGTCACATTACAACTACATGCCACACTATCATTGCCACACTGTCATTTGTCGTCGCTGGCCACTAGAGTGCCGTTGCAGACCGTCGATCGATATATTGTTGAGTGAACGTACTGTCATATAACATTGTCATCACTAGTCCATCACACTACCAATATGTATTCTTATATCACACTGTCATTATACTTCTATTTTACTCTTAAAAGACTTAGAATTCTTATTTTTGTATTTTTCATGTTTTTTACTTCTATCGAGGGTTATTGAGGGTTTTTTCTTTATCTGGTATGACTATCCTACAAAAGACTAAATTCTACAGTAGTCGTTCAAGTTAATGCATTATGCATTGTCAGTTCTTCAACTTTTAAAAATCTACGAATAGTCTATCAAGTCATGATAGTGTTCCACGTACAATTGATTCTTCCGTTAACTTTATCGTTAATCCATGTACTTTTGCCATTTTTCATTATTTATACATGTGAGAATTTTTTTTTCATACAATTAAGTCATGTTTCATATACAAGTCCATTTTTAATAATAATAATAATAATAAGTTACTTTTATTTTGTCCAATTTTTTTTATAATAATAAGTTACTCTTTCCGTCCTAAAGCTTATGTGAAATCTTGACTTTTCACCGAAATAGAGCGAGTGTTAAATTTTCTTAATAATATACGGAGTAGTTTTAATTGAAATTGTAAGCCAAAGATTAACCCTAATTAATATTTTAGTACTAGGGTTAATCTTTGATGTATTAGTCCTAATAAAATTTTATTGGAAAAAATTGTCCACTCTACTTTTATGAAAAGCCAAAAGTTTGACACAAATTTTAGGACATACAGAAGTAAATATTTTATAAAATTAGATTAATACTATTAAAAAATTGGGCTAATAGAAGTAAGAGCATTTATTTCTATTGAAAAACAGGCCTACATGAGATATGACTCAATTGTATGAGAAAATAAGATTTCTCATATGTATTTATAATGACAAATGAAAAAATACATGGATTATTAACGATAAAGTTAACACAAGGAACCAATTGTGCAATGCTAACTTGAAGGACTAACAATGCAATTTAATCCCAATAAAAAGATCATCTATTTTTTTAATGAGTGACTATGTTTGATGTACATCAAGGCCTACATCATGGTGTAAATAAAACGGGTTTACACCATGTTGTACAACAGAGCATCATGGTGCACGTCTAGCCCTAATTATGCACTCCATATCACTACAAGAAAAATCTTCTTACAAACCCGAGTTCACAAGTCACAACGGAGGAAGTACCCCATTTCTTCCATATTTAAGCTTTATTTTCTGAATTAAGCTAGGGGTACCCCATGTTGGTGTACCCCTAGCATTGCCCTTATTTTCTTTTTTCAAATTAGCGTCGTCTTGCAATAAAATTTTCATTTCTTTTAAGTAATCGTTTACGTTGTTCAATTTATTTCTTTTTGTGGTAAATTATAACTACGCAATGTTATTTTCTCAATCATGCATCGTATGTCTTAAATTCCGTCAAAGTCAAAGGGGGAATTGAAATAAGAGAGGGAGCAATATAAGACTATGGGGTATGGTTCCTCTTTTCTCTTCTTAGGATCTTTCCCTTCTGCCAACTCAACGCAACATTAGTTTTTCATTTTAGTTCTCCTTACATTCTTCTTTGTGGGGCGTGGTTTCCCCCGCCTTCCTTCCCCTTTTCCTTCTAATTTTTAATACTTCGTATTCCTTTGTAACACATATTGGAATTAAAATTAATTAAACTAAAAACATAAATACAATTAAATAACACAAACTTAAAAAAACTGGAAAAATTTTTCAAAAAAAAGATATAGAAAAACTTAAAAATTGAGAGAATTGTAAAAACTAAAAATCAAAAAAATTAAAAAACTAAAAAATTGTTAAAAACTAAAAAAAGAGGAAAAGAAGCAACAAAATAGAAGAAGAAAGAAAGGTGTGAAGGAAGAAACAAAGAATTGAAAGAGGGAAAAAGCAACGAAAAAGGAAAAACATACTCCATGAAAAACGGGAGGAAAACCCCGTTTTTCTCTTTGGCAGCGGAGGGGAGGGGGGTACGGTATTCTCCTTCTTCGATCCCGCTGGTGCCACGTCGTCCTCTTCCCGCGCTCCCCCTTCCCCTCCCATACATACCCTAGAGCGCAGCTGAGCCTAATTGTTATCAAGTGTTGAAGAAGATGTGAGCTGACTGGCAGCCTATTGGAAGAAGCCAGCAGTACGTAGTGCACTTCGCACCCACCAGTGCTAATTAGCTTGTTAACGTACTAATCAACGATATATATATGGTCCACCCACATTATATTGAACTCAATGGGGGGCGTGCCCC